ACTGAGAAAAAAAACCCACAACCCTGGACAATGAATGGATCTGGTGGAAACTGGCAGAAGGATGGGGAGAACTGCTCTGTTTGAGGTTCCCAACACAATGCTGTGATTTTTGAGTGCCAAGTGTATGTATGATTTTATTTACCTCCCTCTGTAACTCTGGCAGTAGCTGAAATTCAGCCGATTAAAGCTGGAAGTCGTGTGCCTCGCTCTGCAGAGAAAGGGGATTGGTGCAAAAGCCCAGGCTGCTGGGATAATAGCTCAGTGCATTAGGCAGGGAGAAGGGGAAGCGTCTGTGGGGATCAAGTTGGGGGCAGGAGATGAAATGGAGGGTCCTTTCCTCCCAAACAGGATTAAAAAAAGGAGAAAGGACAGTTTGCACACCCCCCAGCAGAAACCGTACAACAACAACAAATTAAATAGCTAAATATTTGCTGCCCTTTCATGGCACTCGGAATCTGCATCCTGAGGTGGCCAAGATACTCCAAGAGTCTAGATGGGCGGAGTATAAATTTAATAAATAAATAATGAAGGCTAAAACTCTGAAATAAAATCCTGAGATCTAGCAACTTGATCAAGAGCTGCCAAAGACAACAACTTTCAGCATCTAAACCCTACCTCTTTGGCCTTGTTCCCTGTGAATTGGTGAACAGGTATTTGGAGGAGAATAATTCAGGCTGTGGCATGAGGAAGAGGAGGAACTCATAGCATTTAATGATTTATTAAGAGAGAGAGAGAGAGAGAGAGAGAGAGGTGTCCTTGTGCGTTCTTCCAAAAAACACCCTACTAGGTGGGATCTATAGGTATATGCATTTTCTATATGGAGAAAATGTTTTATGTCTGGCATTCGGTTATGTGAGTTCCTTCCTGCAGTGTAAAGTAGAATAGTCCAGACACAGCACCATGAGAATTAAGCCTTTGTGCCCATTAAAAGAAAAAAGAAAAGACAAAACTGTCCAGTCTAGAGTTGAAAATGAATCCTTTAGAAGAATGGCTCTCAAATTCTTTTCTCTCACTGATTGTCTGAAAACAACTGGGGTCTCCGTGGACCATTTAACAAATGGGCTTCCCATCTAACCAAACACAGCATGTTTCATCATGTTGTTCATTCCTCAGTACTGGCATCATCATCATCACCCAAACCCATGTGTTACAATGAAAAGTGTGAGTCCTGGGCCGGACCACTGAGAAAGTTCCTTATTTAATGAAAGTCTTGTAGATTTCATTTGTACCCTATGCTGAAAAACATGGAGCCTCAGCTGGAACCTTATGAACCTGTTGAATCATCTGACCCTGGTCCAAAAAGCCTTGATCTTGGTCATCGACAGAACAGAAAAGAGGAAACGAAAAGCCTGCCCAAGTACAGGTATTTGCAGCAACAGTTCTGCAACTTTTCTGGGACCACTGGCATAGAGCTCTTGGTCTCCCATTGGTCCAAGGAGCACAGCAGGAGGCAAGACGCTAATAAAGTCCCTTGTAGCCAACAGAGGCCACCACTCACCAAAACATGAATGTCTTGCTGTTTTCCAAAGAGTATCCTCTGGGTCTTCTTTGGTTCTCAGATTACAGCCAATATGATTGGCCTCTGAAGCAACAGAGAATGGCTGAAATCCTGTTGCTTAGCATAATAAGCTGCATTAGAGTAGGCCTACTGAATTTGTGAGGGTTTGGTGAGTCAACTCCTCTCTAAATTCAATTGATTCCAAAGGCCTACTCTAGTTAGGACTTACTATGCTAAACAACAAGATTCGGGCCAGTCTTTCCTGTTCTCTGGCTATTGCTGGTGCATCTATGGGCTGCTAGAATGCAAGCAGGTATCCAGACAACCTGGAGAGCAATGCCCAGCATCCATCCATGAATGGCACACCTTTAGCCTTCATCTTAATACACTGCTCCCCCCCCCAGAGCCCCATGTGCCCTACCATGCCACAGGGCATCAGCAGTGACAAACCTGGCATGTGTAGCTTCCATCTCTATGTAACCGAAATCTTTGCAAAAGCCAAAGAGGAGCCATCCTGCATCAGACTGAAGTCCAGCACTCTGATTTCTTAAGACCTTTGTCCTGAATCAAAGCTTTCCAGACATGGTTTGTGCAACACACTGGATGTGAGAGGTATGGAGCTAACATCAAAGGATCCTTGGTAAAGTTGCAGAGAGGAAGGTGGCAAGGCATGGGGTGTCGTTTACAGAAGGACATGTCAGAAATGTCCTATGCTTGGCCAGCTCAGGACATTTTGGGGCCGAGGTGGAACCACAGACAGTGACTTCTTCACACACTTACAGCAAAGTACGTAATAAACCAAAGTTATTTTCAACATGATGCAGAAAATCCCCACGAACACTTCTCCCTCACCTTGTAGGAAAATGTAATTTTAACAATTAAATCATTAACCATTTGGTGCCCCTTGATTAAATACAAATCTACTGCCCAAGGGGGCTGCCCCAAACTACCTAACGGTAGGGCCGGCCCTGCCTTTGGGATTTCACAAGAGACCCCTGAGGTTCTCCTCTTAGGGCATATCCTGCTTCACAGGTGCCCTCACAGCTCCAACCACAAGCTTTTCCCTTTCTTGAGCAAGTGGTCTGACCTTATCTTCTTGAAGCCAGCTACAGAAAGACTGCTCCTTTCACTCAACATGCCTGAATGGGCTGGTTTCTTGTGTGCTTTGCCGGTGCTTCCCTCTCACTCCGACGCACAATAATCAGCTCATCCCTCTCATTTTGTTGCCTTGGTTGAGACTTCATTTTCTCAGAACGGGTGGCATGTCTTCCCTTTATTCACTGCCTTATCCAGTCAGAAGAATTCGGTAGAATATTTTTCATTGTCCCTCAGTTTTACCTATACGCGAAGTGGGAGAAAGGATCTCTGGCACTTGCATGCACTACACAATAGCTGAAATCTGTTGCTCAGCAGTAGAGTAGGCCCATTTGAATAAATGGAATTTACTTAGGGGCTGACTCAACAAATCAGTGGGGATGATTCAATTGACCTGCCTACTCTAGTGCAGTTTACTGTGCTAAGCAACAGGATTTCAGTCCAAAAAAAGAGAGGGAGAGAGAGAGCGAGAGAGAGAGAGAGAGGCCATTTGTGAGACTGAGACATTTCATATCGAGCCTCATGGTTAAACTGCTGTACTGCAGCCAAAACTGTGCTCACGACCTGGGGTTCAAATCCCAGATAGCCGGCTCAAGGTTGACTCAGCCTTCTATCCTTCCGAGGTCGGTAAAATGAGTACTCAGCTTGCTGGGGGGGGGGGCAATGTGTAGCCTGCATAATTAACTTGTAAACCACCCAGAGAGTGCTTGAAGCGCTATGGGGCGGTATATAAGCAGCACGCTTTGCTTGTTGTAGTTGTGACAGAGGTAGACAACCTCAGAATCCCTGTGCCCAGCTTCACCTTTGTGTAGTGAGAATTGGTTTCAAAATGGCCCTGGGCCCCATGTTTGTAAAGTCCCGACATCTGACATCACCCATCACCCAAACAGCTCTTCCAATCACATACGAATATTATTCCTGGAGCACCACCCGGCAGAATGTTCTACCCCCACCACCCTGAATTCACTGTTCTCCCCTTGCTTGTAGAAGCTTCGAGAGGGGGAAGGACTGGTTAGTGTGTGGATGAGAAACCTTCAGGGAGCACCAGGGATCTCAAGGTAAGGCGTGGGAAACACCTTGTGTCCAATTCCACAGGGTTGCTGCCAGCCCAAGTGGACAGTCGTGAACTAGTTAGTAGCGAGTGGATTTCACATGAGACAGCTTTCCAGCTGGAGCCACCCAAGAGCATTACTACTGTGGATTGGGTCCCTGCCGAGAAATCTCTCTGTCTCCTCCACCCCCAGTCCTCACTTCATCTGGTGTCTGCTTCCCCCTGCTTCCCCCCCCCCGGGGGCTCCAAGGCCCTGCTGACTGGTGAGGATGGGGAGTGCCGTTGGACAGATCTGGAAGGTGCCATTAGGTCAGAGGATGGGGTCCTACATGACCAGATTTTTCTCTGCCCCTAAAACCAACCCGTAACTCCCTCACCCCACTTCCCCTCCTGCAGGCTATCCGACCCACTTCCCGGTGAGACAAAGCAAGGCAGGGCTCCTCCACCTTGTCCCAGCTGGGCAGGAGAATGAAATCCACTCAAGACAAAGGTTCTCTCCTTCACGTGGCATCAGCTTTCAAACCAACCCACCAACACGACCATTTGAGGAGCAGGACCTCTTTGGGGTTGTATTACCCGCCCCGGAGCCCCCAATTTTCCCTGATGGGAGCTTGCTCAAACTGGGTCCCTGGGAAGGACCCCAGAGCACCTCTTCCGCTCCCCCCCCTCCAGTCATTAGGGCAGAGTCTCCACCACGGTCCGGGCTGAGCGGAGTTGCCGAACTAGAGGGGCGATCGTTTCCCTCTGTGTCGGGTGTCCGGCACCTTTTTGTCTGGAAACGAAACCCCGCTTCTCTTCCTTCGTACCTGGTCCTCGCCGTCCTTAGAGGATCAGCGAACAAGCGCCGGGGACAGATGCGAGGGGGAGGGGGAGGAAGCACTCTGCAAATGTTCAGAGACACTGCTGTCTCCTCGCCGACCAAGGGCGAGCTGGCTGCCGGCGGGTTGAAGGAGTGGATGGGCGGGCGCGGGAGAGGCGCTTCTAAAATGCTCAGCGCCTCAAACCCCCCCCCCCCGGTGGGAACTAGTTGTTATATTACCTGCCTGGGGTTTGGGGGCGGGGTTGGGTGGGGTGGGGGAGCTCTCCATAAATACTCCGAGGACTTCTCGGAAGGGACTGCGCTTCTATTCAATGCCGGTGGTATGGGTTAGGGGAGCACTCTGCAAATGCTCAGAGGCACTGTCCTCTTGCTCCGTCCGTCCCTCTGCTCCTCTTTCTTGCCTGTGGTGCCTGCCCCCTATCTGGAGCATCAGACTCCCCCCGCTCCACATCACACGTAAACCTGCCTGCCTGCGTGCGTGCATTCATTCATTCATTCATTCATTCTCTCTCAATCTCTCCTTCTGGGCGACCTACCTGACGCCGGGGTCCCTCGTCGCTCCCGCCTTCCTTCGGGATCCCAGGGGCTCGGCGACGCTGCCTCTGCCCGGCATCTCCGGCTCCCCCAC